AACTACACCGCTCTCTACTCGCCCCCGTTTCGGCTCCCCCTGAGGTCCACCATCCTGGCCGTGGACGCTTTGGTAAATGCCCGCGCGCCTTTGACCCCTTTCGAGGGCCGCGTGGAGCCAACACCGGCGAGGGAAAGACTGTTAACGACGCCAACGCCGGTCCCTCTCCTTTCCGTTGCCCCTCCCTCCCCGACCCTGTCTGCCTCCACGCCGTCCTCTTTCCCGCGTCCCTCCTCGCGTCCCCGCTTCCCGCTAGAACTCACGGAGGACACGGACGACGACGACAGCAGCGAGGGGGGGGAACTCTCGGTCACAGCCAAGCTGGAGGTCCCCTTCCAAGACGGGTCGGGCTGGCGGCTTCTCTGCCAAGGGCCGTCCGTCGGGTGGACCTGGGGGGAGGAAGGGGCGGAGGGAGGGCGGAGGAAGGGGCGGAGGAGGCGCCTTGCCGCCCATGAACGGAGGGAAAGGGCCCTGGCCCGTGCCCCTTCCCGCCAGCTTGAGGACCTGCCCGGCTTCCCCCCTTCCTCCACGTCCTTCGCCGCTCGCCTCCTGACCGTAGTCTTCGACGCGCCGGGCATGGAATACAGGGGCTTCCCCTCCTACCGACTCAGTATCGTCGTGGCCGGGCCCGCCGCCGTCAGCTTCGCCCCTCAACTTGGGTACCTCATCCATCACGACCGGTTCTCCTACCTCTACCTCCTCTTCCTCCTCCGCGCCGCCCTCCTTCTCCTCACCCTCCTCGGCCTTTTTCGGTGGCACCGACGCCTGCGCCGAGAAAAGCCCGGCGGGCTTCGCACCTGGTTGCCCGAACAGCATTACGTCGGCCTGGTCCTCCTCCCGGCCCTTTTCCTCTGGCAGAACCCCTTCGCCCTCCTCCTCGGTTACTGGGGCCGACCGCCCTCCCTCCTCCTCTTCCTCGCCGACCTGGCCAATGCTGCCGGGTATCTTACCATGCTCTTCGCCTGGGTCTGCATCGTCGATGGCCTCCGCTGCTACGAGACTTCCAAGGAGGTCTGGCGCCGGGCCCTGGCCCTCTCCCCTCCTACCCGATCCCTCCCTCCCAACCACCTCGCCCTACATACGGCCTCTTTCCCTTCCCCATCGGACGCCCACAACCCTTGGCAGCACCAGCAAAGCTTTGCCCAACCTCACCCCTCTCCTATTCCCGCCCCTCCCTCCCTCCGTCCCTCCTCCTCCTCCGCCCTTCCTTGGCCTCCCAAGCACCACCCGCTCGGAGATTACTTCTCGGATTTCTTCCTCCCGAAACTCGCGCTCTACCTCCTCTCCCTCTGTCTCACCCTCTTCCTCTGCGTGCTCCGCTACCCTTCCAAATTTTTCCAGAGCCGCCCCCCTCTCTCTTCCTCCACCACCTCTTCCCCTGCCTCCGTCGGCATCAATACCGAAGACTCTGGCCTGCCCCCCTCCCTTCGCCGGGTCTATGCCCTCCTCTCCTTCCTCCTCGTCCTCCTTTTAGCCGGCTGGTACCTTCTCTTCCTCTCCTCCGTCCTCCTCACCGGCCGGGCCCTGCGGCGACAGGCTTACCTGCGGACACGTTCCCAGCAGCTGTCTTTCCGCTTCATCTCCCAGCAAGTCTTTCTCATCCTCTGCTGCAAACTCACCCTCCTGGTCCTCGGCACCCTCCGCCTCGCGCGCCTTCTCTTTGGGGTCGGGGCGGGGGGCGGGGGAGGGAAAAGCTGGGAGGGTGCCTTGTCCGGATGGTCCCTCTACGCCACCTCCTCCTTTCAAGCGCCCATGGGCGAGCTTCTCTTCATCAGCA